CCACATCGGTTTAGATATGCAGATTTCCGACGCCCACAAAGATTGGCGGCGCCAAGTGGTGACCTCGCCGCAGGCCTTGCCACGTCGAGACCGCCCCAAGCGCCAGGCCGGCCCCAACAGCAAGCGCCAGAAGCAGCAGGAGGAGAGGAGGGTCGCCCGTCGGCAGCGGCTACCCGACGAGTTGCACGAGAGTTTTGACGAGCTCCACCCTCCTCCAGACCCTCCACACGGTGATGCAACATCGTTTCCCATCTACGCGCCAGCTGAGACGCGGGGCAAGCGCTGCCTCGAGCCTGTCGGGATCGCCCCCAGCGAGCTGGTCAATGAGAGCATCTCCTGGGCGGTGCCTCGCAACAAGGACGCGGTCACGGCGCTCTCGGCTCGCCACGGCCATTGGGCGGCGACCGCGGAGCCTGCCATCTTGACCACCGAGCAGGCCCCCAAGGACGAGCGCAGCAAGTACCAAGGGCGTGGCCAGTTGCACGGGCTAAGGTGGGCGCGACTCAAGGCGTCGCCTGGCCGAACACGTATGCGGTCGCCCACTATGGAGTGGTGGTGGACGGTTGAGTCTATCATGGCGCGGTACCGCTCGTTGATGCGCAAGGGGTCCGACATGGATCAGCAGCAGCGGTGCGTGCTCGCTCTCAACCCCATGGCCTCGCAGGCGCTCGATCAGCCACGCGCCGCCATCTTCGGAGCCAGGGCCACCGCTGAGGAAGCTGACTACTGGATCAACCGGATATTGCTGCCCAGCGGCGAAGCTGACGTTGACAGCATGGACGAGATCGCGGAGGTCACCGAGAGGTGGGTCGGCCGAGCGTTTGCACGCCTCATGGCGGATGCCCCCCAGGCGCATGCCAAGTGGACAAAGGACATGTGGGCCCACAAGACGGGATACCCCCACCAGCACGCGAAGGATCCAGGGCCCCTGGAGGTCCTGGAGGCCCCGCGCGCTGCCGCGCCAGGAGCTACCTCAGACCCTCAGGAGATCATGGCTCAGAAGGTGCAGCGGTGGGCCCCGAAATTCACAAACGACGCGCGTCGCGCGGCGCCATTCTGGACACGACGGAGCACCTCCACGCCCAGAGCCAGGTCGAGGCTCTGCCGCAACTTGCTGCGGTGCAAGCTGCCGAGCTCCAAGGCCAAGGGCGTCGACGTGCTTGGGCCCACTGATCTGCAGAGGCCGCCGCTGGCAGCCATGCAAGAGGTCGTCGCCATCCCCAATGCTGCGGAGGATGTTGGCTCGCGGCCGCTGCAGATGCTGCTGACGCCATGCGCCGCGCTGCCCAAGCCAGCGGGCGGCGAGCGCATCATCGGTGCCCTCGCGAAGCTCATGGGCTCGAGGTCACGTGCGCGATCGGGAGCCGCGGACCGCTGGGCTGACAGCAGGAACGTCTTCTGGGACACCGCGGCGCGCAATTCGTCTGCGCTGCGCGCCGCCCTCCAGCGGGCAGTCATGGACGAGGCTGCCCACGAGCTGGGCTTTGCAGTGGCAGTGTTGTTGCTCGATCTCGAAAATTTCGAGGACATTGTTTCTCTTCTGAAGCTCATGCAGTCTGCGCTTTCCCAAGGTTACCCTGCCGTCGTCGCCCTGTTAGAAATCCAGATGTGTTTGGCCCCGCGAGCGTTGAAATCTCGGGCCATGGCTAGCGATTTTGTTTTCCACACTCGGCCCTTGGTCGCGGGATCGCCCAAAGGAGTTTCGCTGGCCAAACTTTTCTCGGGACCCATCATGGATGAGGCACACAGGATGGTCGCCTTGAATCAAGCCAGGGCCTCGTCAGCCATCAGGACTTTCGTTGACGACACATTTGTTCGGTCCGAAGGTAGGAGGGCCGACCTTGTTGGCCAGATGTCGGGGCTCGCTGACTCGTTTGCGCGGTCTTTTGCGGCCCAGGAGCCCCCGATCTCATCCAAGACCAAGTTGGTACTCAACACTCTTGGACTGGGACCCGAGCTATTCAAGAGGTGTTCTGGTCTGGGGATGCCGGTCTCGCGGGTCAAAACTGCGGTGGACTTGGGGCGCGATGTGGCGGGGGGTTCTCGTCGTTCGCGCGCCGAGCCCAACCAGCGCCTGAGCAAAGGCCGCCCCAGGGGCGCGCCTATCAAGCAGCCTAGGAAGCACGCATCTCTCGCCAAGGCATGCTAAGGCCTGTGGCTGCAAGGGGCGCTGCCTCAGTCAGCACATGGGCACTGAGCTATGGGCCCCCCCCCATCTTCTATTCTTCAGTTGTGAATGCAAGAAGCCCAAGCGGTGGCTGGTAAAGGCCCAGGGCGATGCCTCACCACCACTCTTGCGATTTGGTTCGGGGACAAGGATCCTGGTATCAGTCTGAGGACCCAGCTGTTCCGCTCCTGGCTCGACCTCTGGGACAAGTGCCCCTCCCTTTCCACCCTCGCATCGCGAAAGGCTGGCCATTGGTGGCCGCGCGTCTCGGGCGCGCCCCCAAGTTCCGGCGGCGGGAAGTCCGCGGGCCTATAGGGGCCGTGATCGCCACCCTTCGAGACGGGGGTCGGCGGTCGATTTCTCCCACGGAATGGCGTAGGCCTATTGAGGCTGACACGTTTGAGACCTGGCAGTTTCCTGATCTTGCCGCCGATCGCGTCGCTGGCGATTTCGACATTGCAGAGTTAGTCAGCGAGTTTGCTGAGGCTCTCAGAGACCAGCTTTGGCAGCAGGCGGCAAACCATGAGCACGGGGATGGCTTAGTCTCAGGTGATGACGCGTCGGCCATGCGGCCCCAGATCCAGCGCCTCCTGAAACAGGAGGAATTCGATGTGATCGGCCAGTTAGTCACGGTGTCTGCTGGAGGCCAGTGGCCTCATCATAGGCAGCGCGAGCGGGGTTATTTAGTTTCATCGAAGTGCCCGCGATGCGCGGCCTCAGAAGAGACCCTTTCCCATCGGATTTGGGACTGCCCGTGCAATAAGGGTGTTCCCGCCTATGTTAAATCCGAGCAATTAGTCTCCCAGGCCTGCGTCGGCCATGAGGCCAACCCGAGTCTCTGGCCGCGGGGGCCCCCGCCTCGTTCCTTCACGTGCCCAAGATTTCGAGGCGGGGGGGGACGTGGAACGGGGGGTCGAGTTGCGCGCGGAGCCGATCTCGATTGCAGAGAGGACGGCTTTCTTTTCGTCTTCGGCGATGGCTCCGGGCGGGCAGTTTAGAAGTGATCCTCGTCGCCATAGAGTGGGCGCGGCTGCGATCTCGTTGGCGCCAGCCTCGGGAGGCTGGACTCGGACCCGCGGCTCTGCCACGACCCTTGGAGGTCGCCGCCAAACAGCGCCCAGAGCCGAGGTTCGCGCGTTTGAACTCGCGCTTCGTAGTTACTCTGGCCCGCTGCGGTTTGCCGCGGGCAGCGCGGCCCTGCATCGAGGGTGGATGTCCAGAGGGCACGAGTTCTGCAAGGGCCCCAACTCGGACCTCTGGCGTCGCGTCCGCGCCGCCTTGGCAGAGGGGGGAGAGGGTGAAGCCCGAGTTGCGCGGTGCCCGTCGAACGTCGACCCCGAGGACCCCGCCCTCCCCCCTCAGGAGCATCTGCATGCCACGGGCAACGGCTTTGCCGACACTCTTGCTGGGGACGCGGCCAGTTTTTCTTGGACCCGTGGCCTTCAAGGCCACCGGCCCCCTGACACGGATCTGTGGGATTGCACGGCGGCGCTCGTTAGGCGTCGCGCGGCCAAGGCCATGGTGGATTCTATCAGTGTTACCCCCTGGTGCGCCGAGAGGCCTCCCGAGGCCCGTCGTCTGGGTGGCCTCACCGAGGCCCTGCTTCGGAGCGAGCACTGTTTGGTCAGGGCCGAACGTAAGTGGCTGTGCTCGCTGTGTCACCAAGTTGCACCCGTGTACCACATTGCTGAATTTGCAGCGTCTCCCTGTCACGTTGCTAGCCAGGACCTTTCGAGTCTTGCTGATCATGGGGTGGTGCAGGCGGGTGGGACTGTCACGGTTGGGGGGACAGTTTGCCACTCCTCGCGCGTGCTGCATTTTTGGCCCAAGTGTGGCTTGCAGTTTTGTTCGACGCGCGGTGCAACGGCCACGGAGGACCCGCGTCATTTAGTTGCCGAGTGTAAGGCCCGCACCAAGAAAGGCACGGAGAACCTTCAGCGAATTCAGAAGGGGTTGTTTCCCAGCCACGCGGGGCCGTCCAAGACGACCCAGGCGCGAGAGCTGGGCATTGTCAGGCGAGAGGCCGTCCTCCGTGGGCCACCGCCTGGCGTTTTGAGTGATGACCGCTGAGTTCGCTTCCGCCCCGTGGATCCCAGCGAATTCCACCGAATTCCTCCTCCCTCCCCCCATCCAACTGATGGTGGCGGTGGGGGAAAACAGGCCCAGCATAGGGCCACTTTCGCGTGTTATGTGGGTTCGCGTCCTTGTCGGCTGGCGGCGACCCCGCCGCTGGCGCTCAACGTTGAACGCCGCCAGCGACCCACAATCGGTCGATGTTCAAGGATCTGACTGTTCGAAAACGGCCGATCGTGCAACGCTGAACGACCCCCGCGGTGGCAGAAACCAGCGCCGAACCCGCGGTACCGATAGCGCAAATTCGGCCACGTTTTCACCTTGCGGGGCTGCTGGGATCGAAACTTTCGGAGCTCCGCGCGGATTTCTCGGATCCGCGTTAAGCCTCCCTGGCGGCGCTCGCGGCGCCGCCCATGGCGCGGTCCGCGCGCCGGAAAAGGGGACCCAGCGCCGATCCAAGAAATCCAGTCGGACGCGCTTCCGAAATTTTCTGCTTCTAGGATGGACCCAGAATCGAGATAAATACATGCCAGGGCGTCTTAGAATGTTCTCAGAGCGTTCCGGAAACCTCCGAAACGGCCGCGGCGCGGCGCCCGATACACCCTCCAAACCCGCCGCCGATTCTCAAAAATGTCTGATTTATATGGGTTCGATTTTGTCTCGAGTCTGCCTTCGTCTTAGTTTCTGATTGTAGGGGCCACTCTTGCGTGTAGCCGACTCCTCCCTGGCATCGTTGGACAGACCCCCCGGGCCCCGCGAGCGCCCCGGACCCGCCCCGGCGTCGGCCGCGGCCGCGCGCGGCCCGGCCGCACAATTGAGGAGGCACGCGCGCGCCTGACGCCCTGCGCCCGCGGGGCCGAGCGGGCCAAGAAAGGCGCGCGGCGTCGGGAAAGGTCGGAGGAGCATCGAGGTGCGAGGGTCCAGCATCGGGGTCCGAGGATCGAGGCTCGCGACGATCTCGAGGCTCGGGGGCCGAAGTGGATCGAGCAGGATCCAGGCCGAGGACGGGGTGCGGTCTGCGATCGGCGCTCCTTTGGGGCTTGAGGGGCACGACGCTGTCCTCGTCGGGCCTCCTCGGGGCGCGGGGGAGAGCCCCGTCGATGCCATCGCCCGCCCCCCCCCCCCCTGGTGCCCCCCAGGGTTCGGGTCGGGCGAAAGGGGGGGATTGGTAAAGGGGGGGTTACGAAATTTGCTGCATGCAGCTGGTTTCGGCCCCGCCGCCGGGCCCATTCCTCGATACATGGGCGCCTCCTGGCGCCGGGAGGCGCCGGGAAAATCAGCTACGTGAGCTGATTCTCAAACCCCCCCTTTGCTATCCCCCCCTTTCGCCCGACCCGAAGGGTGCCGGTTGCAAACCGCACCCTCTGCAAACCACACCCTTCGGAGTCGCCGTTGGGATGGGGCCGGAGGACGGCACGGTGTCGCCGAGGCATCGCCGGTGCGGCTCGGTGCGGAGCCCGGTGTTCTCCAAGCCAGTGGCGCCGATGCGTTGCCGACGTCGCCGATGCATCGGCGATGCACGGGCGACGCGGCGCGATCCGCCGACCCCGTCCTCTCGGACCCCATCCCGGAGGCCTTGAAGGAGAGGGGTTCGAGAGTCGAGGATCTCGACGAGCTCGAGGACCGACATTTGCAGAAGATCGGGGCTTTGGATCAAAGGCGAGTCGAGCTTGCGCTCGAGGGCAGCAGTGGCGGTGGCGGCAGCAGGGGCTGCGGCGGCAGAGAGGCCCGCGGGAAGGCAGCCCGCCGTGCTGGAGTCTGTGCTCAGAGGAGGTGCGTGCGGTAGGTTCGCGTCGTTTCGACCGACGGCAACCCCGCCGCCGTCATTCAACGTTGAACGCCACTGGCGACCTAAAATCGGTCGAGGTTGAACGATCTGGCGTTTCGTAAAAAGCCGATCGTTCAAAGTTGAACAATCCCCGCGGCGTCAGGAACCAACGCCAGGGTCGACACGACACGAACCTCCCGTACCGACACCGCTAACCGAGGGTGGTCTTCAATGTTGAGACCCCCCTTAGGCCTTGGGCTCTCGGCTGTGAATAGAGCTCGTCCTTCCCCTCCTCGCCGTCCCCCTCGTCCTTCCACGCAATGGGCGTCTCCGGCTCGGCCTGTGCGCACAAGGAGAAAAAGGCGGAGGAGGAGGAGCAGGAGGAGCAGGAGCAGGAGCAGGAGGAGGAGGGGAAATATTTGTTTCCCCAGTATTGTTGGGGTCCCAATCCGCCAATAAACCCGCGCAAAATAAACAGATGTTCCTACTCTGAAGAGGGGTTGGATTAAAAGACCTACCGCGATTACCCTGGCCTCGTGTTCGCCTTTCTGGGGCTTCTGGGAGGCCCTCGTCACCACGGCTAGATTCGCCGTGGAGTTCTCGTCAGAACGCCTTGCTGGAGAGGTCCGGCACTTTTCGTTGGGGTTCCCCCGAGGAGGGCACGAATTTCAAGGTCCGCGCAGATATCATCTTAGGTCGGCGCGGAGCCCCCCCTTCAGGGGCAGCGTGAGGGCGGGAAAGCCTCGGGGGGAACGCATCGACCCCCGATCGCCCACTCTCCGCCGGTAGTGGCGCGGCAGCCCACCCCGCCCAGGAGCCGAGGGATTCGCCATAGGGGATATCGCCATCAGCGATGTACCGCCGATTCCAGCTCGATGTTTCCGCATGGCCATCCTTGTAGCTTTCCCGCATGGTTCGAGCAGAAGATCGATTAGAGATCTACCCCAGCTTTTTTGCTCCTTCAAGTCAGGGGGGAAAAGACGTGATATTCTTGTAGATATGCGAGCATTGCGCGTGTTGGTGGGCAGATTTGACGGAACACACTCTTATGGGGTACATGAATTATGTAGTCGATCTCCTGTTCGAATGGTCTTCCTCCCACTGCTCTCCGAGGTGCGCGAGGGGGGGAAGGTCCGAGGCACCTTTTGGTGGGGGGGGGGGAGGCAACTGGGCCCGAGGACGAGGAGCCAGCAGCAGGCCCTGGCCAGCAGCCCCAAGCCGCGAGCCCAGCGGACAGAGTACTTCGGCAGTGTCCTGGCCCGTGTCACTCGAGGAGAAATTGCGGAGCGAGGTGGAGGAGGAGAAGGAAGAGGGAACGCGAGGAGCAGGAGGAGGAGGAGGAGGAGGAGGAGGAGGAGGAAGGAAGAGGAGGAGGAGGAGGAGGAGGAAGGCGGAGGAGGGGGAGGAGAAGGAGGAGGAGGAGGAGGAGGAGGGAGGGAGGAGGAGGAGGAGGACGGAGGACGGAGGAAGGGGGAAGGAGGAATGAGGAAGGGAGAGGAGGGTGTCAGTGTCCTACTCCGACGCCCCATTGCCTGTGCATCCGGGCCTCCCCGATGCCCAGGTGTACTCGCACAGCGTGTCCTTCGGCGACTTGAAGCCGCTCCACCCGCGAGCCCCGCTGGATCCCTCAGACTCGAGGGGCCCACACCCAGCATGGAGTTGTTGACGTCAGCCGGCAGGTGACGAGGCTCAAAGCAGACGGTGTTCAGCCAGAGCGTTGGATCTTGCGGGATTCTGCAAAACCGAATTTGGGCTGAGCGGGCTTCGGGGGCCGCTCGCGGCCATGGAGGTGGTCTTACAATGGAGACCCATGCCAACAAACACCCTGCTTGTCTCCAGGGTGCCCTGGGTTTCTTGTGTTTCGATGGTTTTGCTATGGAAAGCGTGACGTGCCCACACCAACAATCAGTGGACGCCCTGGGGTCTCAGGGTTGGGTTTCTTGTGGAAGGTTTCTTCGTGTGGTCGAGACCCTGCTGCATTGGCTGAGCCGGTTTTGGGAAGCCATCCAAGAACATTGCACAGATCTCTCTGAATCGGCCCAGCCAGGTTTACGCTGAGCGGGGTAAGTTTCGCCGTTTTGTCCGAGCGTACCCCCACCAGCCCATCCAGAAGCGATTCCCAAGCGAGTTGCACTGATCAGGGAAGTGTAGGAGCAAGCAGTAGGAGAACGAGAGGGACGGCCGTCAAGACGAAGCTCGGTTTCAGCCTCGGCGGGCCCGGGAGTCAACCATGAATGCGTTCGCGAGTGTTTCTATCTGTGAAGTTTTAGAAGGTTTTGGATGCGTGGGAAGGGTTTGTGGCCAGTTTGGGATCATGTTGGAGGCATCTGAGGCTCTCGTTGGGCCATCTGGGGACTCTCCCGGGGCTTCTTCTTTGGTGGCCTTTCGGTACATACTGGAGGACATCGATTAAAGAGGGGGGTCCCAAGTTGGCCCCGCGATAGCTCCGCGGTGCTCCCAGATAGCCCAAGCCCCAGAGATGGCCTCTTCAGATTTTCCAACGGCGCCCGCGCACCGAGCCGCGCGCGCAACTGGACATTGAAATTGGGGGCGAAGGGGGGGTCGGGTCGGCAAACCCTGCGTTAAGTTTCGCGGGGGGGGGACGGCGGCGACAACGTCCGCGACGACGCCGACGTGAACGGTAGCGATGGCGACGAGAATTGGGCGGGCGCTGGCGGGCTGGCCGGCACAAAAGGCACTCTGGCCTGGGCAAGGCGCAGCTTGCCCGCCGCGGCCCACCCGCGCGCCTTCCGCGGCCCACCCGGCGCCTGCAGGAGATCACGGCGTGCGACGGCTTGAGCTTGAGACACTTTGCACGGCGGCTTGCGGTTTTTCTCGACTTGCTGTTCAGTTGCCATACAGTTGCTAACGAGCTTGCATCTGTGTTTTCTCAAGTTGCCGATCGTTTCTTACCCAGAGTTGACAAGAATGGATTATGCGCGTCGAATGGAAGCGATTGGCAACTAGAGAAACCATATATATATATATATATATATATATATATATATATATATATAAGTACAGCAGCTAATTCGCAACTATATGGCAACTACACAGCACATGGGAAAACCACATAAGCCCAGCAGGACTGGCGCGCTTCTGGAGCAGCGCCGCCAGGAGGGCGCCGTGGCAAGGCGAACAAGGGGAGGGCGCCAGCGCCCTGGGCGGGCCCCGCCCACGAAGCCCCCAAGGCCCCCAGGAAGCCAGTTTCGGTGCCCAGCGGGCGGGCGGCGGCATCGCTCGCAGCGCACGCGCGCGTGGAGATCGTAGTCCGTCCGGGGCGTGCCGCGTGCGTCAGGGCGCGCCCAGTGCACCGTGCGCGCCGCGCGCGGGCTTGCCACTGGCGCGGGGCGCGCAGGGCGCGACCGGGTGGCCAAGGGGGCCAAGTGAGACGCGCGCGGGCACGGCGCAACCGCGCGCGCGCCGCGGGGCGGCGGATTGAAAGGCGCCCCCGCGAAGGCTCACGGATTGTCCAAAGCGATCTGTGGGGCCGCGCCGCCATCCCTCCGCGAAACGGAACGCAAGTTTTCCCGCGCCGCGTCGGCGCTCGCAGGCTCCGAAGTTTCGACGTTGACGCCGAAATGCGCAACTTTACATTTTCCGGCGGCGCCAGCACACCGCGCCGCGCGCGCAACCGAACATTAACATTGGGGGCGAGGGGGGGTCGGCAAAATTTGCGTCAAATTTCGTGCGGGGTTTTGCGTCATGCACCTTACGCTTTCCTCCATTGTCATCCATTTTCTCCCCCTGCGTCCTACATACGTCCCGCGCACTACGTCCTCCTCCTCCTCCTCCCCCTCCTCCTCTTCCTCTTCCTCCTCCGCCTCCCATCAACCATGTGTGCAAGTTCGAGGTGATGGGCGTTTGAGTGATTCCGGGCGTCTGGACATGCTCTCGGGCCCGTCTTGGCGCTGTCGTGGCCCCTCTCTCTGTTTTTGATTTCTCTCTGTCTCTCTCTCTCTCTCTCTCTCTCTCCTTCGCTCTCTCGTTGTCTCTATCTATCCCCTTCTCTATCTCTCTCCCTCTCTCTCTCTATCTCTCTCCCTCTCTCGCTTACCCTCCCTCTGCTTCGTTTTCTCTTGTTGTTCTCTCTCTCCCCTCTCTCTCCCTCTCTCTCTCTCTCTCTCGTTTACTCTCCCTCGTGATTTCGTTGTATCTCCCTCGCGATGGTGTTTTTCATTGTGTATGTATGTATGTATATATATATAAACAGATATGTATATAAATATGGCTATCTTTATTATTGTTGTTTCTCTCTCTCTCTCTCTCGCACTCCCACTCCCGCTATCTCTCTTGATTGTTCTCTCTCTCCTTCTCTCTCTCTCTCTATATATCTCTCTTTTGTGTTTCTCTCTCTCTCTCTTTGTATTGTTCCTCGTTATCTTTGTTTTTTATGCCTCTCTCGATATATATATATATATATATATATGTTTCTCTTTTGGTTGGCGTTATTTCCCTTTCTCTCTCTCTCTCTCTCTCTCTCTTTATGTTTGTTTGTTTCTCTCTTTCTCTCTCTCTCACTCTCTCCCACACTCTCTGTCTATATATATATATATAATATCCCTCTCTCGTTGTTTGTGTTTATCTTTCTCTCTCTCTCTCTCTCTCTCTCTCTCTTCTCTCTCTTTCTCTCTCTCTCTCTCTATATATGTGTATCCCTTTCTCTTTCGATGTATATATGTATGTACAAAGATCCGCTCCTCTACATGTATAAGCATATGTATTTATGTATATATAGACACAGATATAGATCGCTCATTTTATAGATGCATATATATATATACATATCATTGTCGATATCCCTTCCGGAATCTTTATATACATATATACATGTATACATATATATATATATATATATATATGTAGTTCAATGTGTCCCTCTATGTACACATACATATATATATATATGTATATATATGTATACATGACATTGGTTCATGTGTATATACAGATATCAAAATGTACTACACCAGAGACAAAAAAAAACAATCAGTGGATGGTTTGATCGATCAGGAGATCGACCGGGAACCCTGGAACCCGGTACCCACCGAAACCGGCTCAGAACCAATAACCAGAAACCCGGGAAGCTGGAACAGGGAACCCAGGAACGCAGCCGGCCACCAAAATCGGCGGGACATGTTCGCCAAATCCTTCAATTTCCGCTAGCGGAAGGGGTCGTGGTAGGACCCGATTCAGTGCAAGCATTGATTGGGGAATATCCCTGTTCCTACATTTTGATTACCCGGACCCCCCCCCTCCTGAACAGCACCACCCTCCCAAGAGACGCCCCAGACGCCCTTCCAGACGTCTCGGCGGCCCCCTAAACGCCCTTGAAGAAAACCCGCTGGCCCTTCCGGGCCTCCCAGGACGCCTTGCCAGGCCTTGCGAGCAGACTCAAGAAGATCAGAGGGGTCAGCGGAGAGGCGCACGAGAGACCCAAGACAGCGCAAGAGCGTCCGGGAGGAACCTCGATGATCTGAAGACGGCCCAAGAGGCCCCCAAGTCGCCCCAAGAGGCTGTTAAGAGAGCCCCGAAGAAGCAAACATCGTCATTTCCCTTACGGAAATGTATGTTTTTAGCATGTCCGTTTGTTGGGATTTCGCAGCGTGCAATACGGCCCGATGGGCTCCCGATAAGAAAGTTCGGGGGATAATGAACTTCGGGGGTCTGGCGGAGATAATGAAGGATTTTCCTGACGATGACGATGCTGATGCTAATGATGATGATGATGATGATGATGATGATGATGATGATGATGATGATGATGATGATGATGATGATGATCATGATCATGATCATGATCATGATCATGATCATGATCATGAGAATGGTGATCCTGGGCGCTCGGCACAAGACTGACTCGAGAGATCTCGATGCTCGTGGCTATACAACTTGCCAGCAGACGCTCGACACAAGACTGACTCGATAATTCCACAGCCCTGCCACACGCTCGTGACTGCGGAAGCTGATGTGGTGAGACCAGCATGGCCATGCTCATCGTTTTTGATGCTGTTGCTAGTCAACATGATATGATAGCAACTTCGATTCGCAACTCCCCCCGTGGATTATAAAGTTCGGCCTCCACGCCCCTCTCCACAATAAGATCCCGTTGAACGGGGATGATAAAAATACAAGGGGTTGAAGGGGGGGGGCTCTAATATCGCCCGTGGTCGTTTATCGCCCCAAGACGGCCCAAGAGGCCCCCCCAGAGATCTTAAAGACTGCCCACAAGAGGCCCAAGATGTTCCCTGAAGGCTCCTTAGAGAGACCCACGAAAGCCATGTGAGACCCCCAAGAAGGCTACTGTGGGTTTCCAAGAAGGCCTTAGATGGTTTCACAAGACCCCTGGAGGGCCCCACCTCTTCAGAACGGCCCAAGAAGTCCCCAGGACGGCCCAAGAGAGCCCCAGAGCGGCCTAAAGGAGCCCCCGAAACGCCCAGACAGTGTTCTCCTACGAAGTACGTCGAGCTGACCCGACGATCTTGGTTCCACGCTTGAGGCTCGATGTGTACACTCCTCGATCGAGAGAGACAGGCAATGGATTAAGGTTCGAAATCCGACGATCGAAGATTTCTTGAGTGCCTTCCAGGCCATGCAGGAAGCGACCAAAAATCGATTCGCTCGGAGCTACTGCGGCTTCTTCGGCGTGTCATGGGAACGCTCCTTACTTCATCAAAGGACCTTCGCGAGCGAAAAAAATCATCATTATTTCCCCGCTCATGCGCACAAGCGTGCAAGCGCATCGGGTGAACGCAGCGTCAGCAGGCACCAGGGATATCAGAAAAATGCGCCGGTTGCCCATCCAGGCATCGAGGTCCCCTTTGTTGAAGCAAGCGATAATGTATCGCTTTGCCGGGGAAGCGTCCGCAACAAGGCGCTGTGCGCAACACGCCACTATTGCCATGTGTATACATATACGTACAAACAAACAAACAAACATGCACACATACATACACACATACATACATACATATATATATATATATATATATAAATATATAGAGATATAGAAACATAGACATATAAAGATACTTTGCTCTCGTTCTTTCGTTATTTCTTTCTCTCTCTCTCTCTCTCTATCTCTCTTCCTCCCTGACGTGCGACAGCTGCTTATTTATGTTCGCGTATCCAACGCGTGTACATATACGTAGCTGTATGTCATATCATGTATACCAGCATGTTGGAGCCCGCTTGCGTTGTGGATGGTCAGCGCGTTAAGCATATGTATTGTATCATGTGATGGAAGCATACGCCCGTTTGCTTTCCTCACCGTCTATACGTCGATATGTGAATATCGGTGCGTCCATGCGTATATATGTATGTGCAACGATGCGCGTGCACATGTGTGTGCATATGCACATGCACATGTACGTGTACATGCCCATTCATCTGCACATGCGCATGCATAGGCACATGTACACGTATATGCATATGTTCTTGTGCATGTAGATGTATAAGCGTGCGTGTATATATATATATATATATATATGTGTGTGTGTGTTTATGCATATGTTTATGTGTACGGGTATGTCCATGTATATGCATGGGTACCCACGTTGTCCTGCCAGTTTCCCCCGATCCGATCGCACTCCCCATGCTCATATTCCTTCGTTTTCTGGCTGGCGCCGCCGACACCGAGGAAGACGACAACGGCCACGACGACAGCAACGACGAAAACCTGTCCAAAACGTAAAGGATATCATGGGTGTTGCCTTCTTGGAGTTTTCTTGGGAATGCTCTCGGGGCTCTTTCGGGGCCTCTTGGACACCCCTTTGGGGGCTCCTCAGGCGCCTGCAGGTGCCTCTTGGCTTCCCCGCCCCCTCCTGCCCGCCCCATGCCGCGCCGCTCGCCTCCCTCCAAGAACGCTCCCGCGCGCCCGGCGGGCGCAGGAGCGAGTGCCCGTACCCTACGCCCATGATAATCGTGCCCATGCCGTTCGCCATCCTGCGAGAAGCCGCGCCTCCGCCAGCGGAGGAGGAGGAGGAGGAGGAGGAGGAGGAGGAGGAGGGAGGGAAAAGAAGAAGGAAGAGGACGGACCGAGGGACTCAGGGAGGGGGAGGCCTCCCCTCCCCGCGGGCCCCAGGGGCGTGCGGCGACGAGGCCTCGCCGCGGCAGGCTCGGGATCCCAGGAGGCCTCACCGCGCAGTCCGTCGCCGCGCGGTCCTGGGGCCTCGGGGGCCCCGGTCGCCCGACACGTCCGCGGAGGACGCCCCGAGCCCCGCATCCGTGCGGTGAGCCCGAATCCCCGCTGCTTCACCACGCAGTGCGGTCCCCACACAGTTTGGGGGCCTCCTCCTCCTCCCCCTCCTCCTCCCTCCTCATCCTCCCTCCTCCTCCACTCCTCCTCCTCCTCCTCCTCCCCACTCCTCCCCCTCCCCCTCTCCCCCTCTCCTTCACCTCCCTCCTCCTCCTCCTCCTCCTCCTCCTGCTCCTCCTCCTCCTCCTCCTCCTCCTCCTCCTGCTCCTCCTCCTCCTAGTCGGCGTTGGAGGCTCAGGCACTCTGAGAGCCAACAAAAAAAGGAATCGCTAGAACTCTCTCGCAACGACCGCCCCGCAGTCGCACGGGCCAGAGAGGAACCCATGGGGGCATGGTAGATGGATGGCGATTGCAGCAGCACTCTTGACATGGCCACTGGTGAAGCTGGTATTCTACTATTCTGTTGCAGCGAATGCCACGGACATATTGGAATACATAAGCAGTGCACTACGAGAGTGGGATGTGATCGTACTGACAGGGACACACCAGTGGGCTGGACCAGAGCCGATGAAGAAGACGAGCCACCAATATCATACAGCTCTGCAGTTCGGGGCAAAGAAGGGACAATGTATAAACCAATCATGCGGTACGACGGTACGACGTACATGATTTCCAACGGGATGATGACAGACAGGGCCTTCCACACGCAGTATTCACCTCCCGTCCAAGTGCAAGGTAGAGCAGTAGGTATCGCATTAAGGACAAGAGCGTACGACGTCACAATATTTGCAGTCTCTTTACCGCCATGCAATGGGTACACGAACAATGGAACGATCTCAAACAAAATTCTTGGACGTTTCGCGTAACCCCACCAGCCCTTCCAGAAACGATGCCCAGAGGAGTTGCCCCGATCAGGGAAGTGGGCGGCACACAGGGGAAGGGTCCCCCAGTGGAGGCCTCTTGGAGCGTTTTGGGCGTCTCTTGGCGGCCCCGGGCGCCACTTAGAGCGTTTTGGGTGCCTTGCGGAACTTCTTGGGGCCTTTTGGGGGTTCCTGGGGGGCCTCTTGGGGGCCTCTTGGGCGCCTGCTGGGGCCTTCTGGGCGCCTCTCGGGGCCCCCTTGAAGCGCTCTTGGGAGCCTTGGTATTCCTCGTGGAGCCCTTCTTGGGCCATCTTGGAGCCATCTCGTGGCTTCGGATGGCCATCGGAAGCGAAGGGGCGAGAAAGCCAAAACAACGATTCCCGCAAGGTTTTGGAAAGATGTTGGCTTCTTCGGGGCCGCCTGGGGGAGCTTGTTGGCCACTTGGAGCCATCTTGAAACGGTTTCGGGGCCTCGGAGCATCGTGGAAGCCATCTTGAGGCATCTTGGGGTATCTTGAGCCATTTTGGAGGTCATCTTGGGCTCCCCCAGGCGCTCTTAGAGTTATCTTAATCAGTTCCCCCCCCCTCTCCCGGGAGGCTAAAATGTGGCCAAAACTTTAGTAATCAGTGATTTTGGTATGCTCGCCGAGGCCTCTTGGAGCGTCTTGGGTGCCCCTGGGGGGCCTTTGGGTGGTCTTTGGGGGGCCTCTTGGGGGCATCCTGGGGGACTCTTGGTGGCCTCTTGGGGCCTCCTGCGGAGGAGGTCGATCAAAAAAGGAGGGGTCCTGAATTAGCCTTGCTCTCCCAAGAGGCCAAAATGATGCCAAAATCGAGTTAAAGCCAATGATTTGGGCTTCCTCGCCGGGGCCGTTTTGGGCGCCCTGACCGCTCGCGGGGCGCCCCGTCCAGGTCCAGGGGAGGGGTAACCCCCCTCCCCGAAGGGGGAGAAAAGGGGGTTGGAAGAGGAACGCGGGCCGAGGAGACCTGCGACGACACGGATGGCAGATCTATTATGATTGCGGGAGGGGACATCAACAGTCAGTTGAGAATGCACAGATCAGACAGCAGGGATCTGGTGGTCAGCAGGCACAGCTCGAGCAAACATGCAGCAGCGTGGAGAACGACCATGGCACAGCATTCCAGGAGCTTTGTGTTCACAGCCTACTGCCGGTGGTCACGGCTTTCATTGATCGTGGGCCTACTTACTATTGCGTGAGAAAACGAGAAGATGTTGCCGGGCAGAAAAAACATTGCAATACCGACGGGGGCATTACCCCATGTGCGGAGGCGCGCAGCATTGACAGGAGTGCCAAAGAAATTGCCGAATATCAGCGCGAGAGGGTACAGAGACACATCCCACTGGGCACGGATATTGAGACAGAACATCCATGTCATGTTTCGGGCAAGCACTGAGAGCGGAGAGCAGGCAAAGAGGTGCACCGCAACATGCTGATGGAGTGATTGAGGAAAGGACGTCTGCGAGCTGAATTCTCGCGCGCGTTCGATCGCCATCAGCAGGCCGCCAAGTCCCAGCAGCCAGGAGGAGCATTAGCGAGGCCCTCTCGGAGTGCGACCCAGGCTGGGCCTCCAAGTGAAGCGTTCGGGTGTTTTTTTTTCTCGGGGTGCATCACAAAAGGGCTCTGTTGACACCCCAGGAGAAGCATTGGCACGGTCCTTCCGGAGTGCAACTCAGGGGGAGATGGCGGCAGGCGAAGCTTGGGGTGAACTGCAGGAGCGCCCTACCGCAGATCAGATGCGGAAAAGATGGAGTGAGGCGGGCAGAAACGCCATGAGAGAGGCGATCCCGACCAAGAGGAGGCAGGAAGACGAGGGGCGGCCACATTACAATTACTACGACATTCCCCACTGGCTGAGGAGATGAAGTCAAGAGTGGACATGGTAGACTCAAGCGCGCAGGGGAGATTGGAGGAGATCTAGCAGGAGCCGGCGCAGATACAACATGCGTCACGCAAACACAGGACGGAGCTGGAAAAGGCAAGAACAAATAAGCTAGCAGAGGAAATATGGAGAGCATACGAGAACAAAAACTTCAAAGAGATGCACAAGCTGCGGGTGGAACGTCAGGGGAATGGGAGAGGGCCCAAAAAAACATTATTTCTCAGCACGGACTTGGTGGAGCACGGAGGAGAGGATTACTTAGCTGGGCAAGCGCCCCCATGATGGGGGGCTGCCAGCCAAGCCGATGGACTTGGAAGAGTATTTTCCATTGGATACGGAGTTGAGAGCACAAGCGGAGAGGGACAAGGGGGACATGCTAAAGTATTGCAGGACAGCGGCAAAAAAGGCGAGCCTTCCCCCTGCGGAGGGTACCAGTAGAACTTACATGGATGATGTTAGAACCCACATTCAACCTGGATGACCCTGAGCAGTTGAGCAAGCAACCGGAAGAGCAAAGGGCATGAACGGCGGAGAAGCGCGATGGCGAGGAGGACATGGGCAAGTTCAGTGCGCTCTATAATTACAGAGTGGGAAGGTTTATACTACAGAAGATGGGTTGGATAGCAGGCAGGGCGTTGGACAGGGAAGAAACAATGGACGACGGCGCGGCAAGCGCGCCGCGCGTGCCGCGCATTTCATCGAGCGTTTGCACTTCCAGCGTGTCAGCGGACTGGAAGGCCCGCGTCCACGTGCCGACCAGTGCGCGCGTGCGCATGCGGGCGCACATCAACACAATTCCTTCCACCTCCCCCTCCTCCCTTGGCAGCGGCCGCAAACGCGTTGGCTTACTCAGCGCGAGGTGGTCTGCAAGTTTTGAGACAACACGGGCATGTACCCTGCTCGGCGGCGAGCCCAGGGGTGAGGCGAGGGTGGAGCAGGCCTCCTTCGAACGAAGGAAGGCCTCCTTCGAACGAACGCGGCGGGGCATTTCAGAAACCCTTGCGCAGGGTGGAGCAGGCCTCCTTCGAACGAAGGAAGGCCTCCTTCGAACGGAGGCGGCGGGGCTTTTCAGAAACCCTTGCGCTTCTGAGAAGCCGTCTGAAGGCCTTTGCGCCCTCTGCAGACGCCGCGCCCCACCTGTTTTCACCCTTGGGTTCGCCGCCAACTTGTGGGCTCAGATCCCCGCCCCACGATCCAAGAGCAGCGGCAGTTCGGTCGGGCCCCCCCGCTCGCGCGGGTGCGCTCTGCCCCACTGGGTGCGCGCTCATCCCGCGGATGGCGGGCTCGCACCTGGGGTGCTGACCTTGGGAGGGCGGCCCGTTTTGTGATCGCGACAGTGCTGGGCGGCATCGTCCTCACTCAAGACGGTGAAATATGGGCAACTTGGGATTCAGGAGTCAGGGGCGAAAGAAGGACGCACGTGTACGTACGAGAACCCACGTTGCATCCGAAAGTGCGCGCTGCGCGACCAGGCGGGCTGGGGTCCGTGCTCCTGTGCGTGGCTGGGCGCGCACGCCATCCCGTGGCCTCCTCGGGGGAGTGCTCTGGTGGTCGGGACGCTCCCCGGGCCCAGGTCGGGGAGCTCGCGGGAGGCCGAGGCCCGCCGTGGCCGGGAGAGGCCCGCCCGATGGCTGCACGGTGCCTGCACACGCTCGGCACGCCGCGAGTCTCGAGGGCGCCCGCCAGCGCGCCAGCCTCGCCCCAGGCAAAGGGGCGGGGGGGGCGAGCCCACAGCCTGCGATCGCGTCGTCCTGGTGGGCGTGGCGGACGATGTTCCTGGGTGCACCTCGCAGGCTGGGCCGCGCCGTGGAGTTTCCTGGGAACGGAGCAGCACGTTTCAATCCCGAGAGCGGGCGGTGCCACGGGGGTGTCACCAGTGGGGGGGGTCACCAGTTCCCCTCGAGTTTCCAGGATCGAAGCTCGAGAATGATGGACGTTTGGGGCTGCGTTGGAAGGCTCTGGAGTGCTCTCGAGAAGTAGAGACCCCCCCTGAGGTCCATTCCGATTCCGACCTGCCCGGTCCCATTCGATTCCGATGTTTTTTAGATCCGACGCGGCCTTATCTTTGCACGGCGTTGTTGTGCATTCTGGCGCGGCCGATTCGATTCGATTTCGGTTATGTGCCGATGCAGCCCGACCCGATGCAGATTTCGACTCGGCCCCACTTACCGATTCGATGCTGATTTTTGATCTTGTGTTGTTCTAGCCACCGCAGCGTGAAGGCCCCACAGGGGTGGATTTGACAGTACCTCAAAGCTGCACGACGATGCCGTGGGTGCCGTGCGGCCAAGACGGGGAGCTCTTCCAGATGTTCTCCCGAGGCTCGCTGTCGAGCCGGCCTATGAGATAAGGCGCAGAAGGCAATCTCGAGCACCGCTGACGAGGGCGAGGAGGCCTAGAGGATGGCACCAACAGCACCGACATTTGAATACCAAAAACTGTATGAGCACTATCTGGGGAGCAAGCAATGACATAAACATAAAAACTCGGAGGTCCGCGCGGACCTCCGAGTTTTTAATGTTCATGTCATTGTTTGTTTCCTTCGTAAGCGATCGAAGGTCCGCTTGGGATTCTTGGGCTCGCGCTGGACCCCTCCCCGCCGCCCCAGGCGGGCTCGCTGCCGGGCAGCCCCTCCCTCTCTTCCCTCCCTTTCTCAGGAGGAGAAAAAACACACAGACACAATTAATCGTCCACTCCCAGGAAAATATAGGAAAATATGGGAAGTGAGGGGGAAGACAAAAACCCAGAAAATATGGAAAAATATGGGGGATATTTTTATTTGTGTGTATTTATTTGTGTGTCCCAGGGCCCCTTCACTTTCCCGTTCCTCCTGCTCCTTCTTCCCTCCCCCCTCATTGCACTCATCCTCCCCCGCATTACGGCAGCGGCTTCGGGGAGCTCCGAATGCCGAAGCTGAGACATGTTTGAGTGTTTCAAGTTCGGCGTCCAGGGATACCGAATGAGGAGGAATGAGGGTGAGCAGTGAAGCGAGGGCCACGTTTAACAAAGGAAACGGGAAGCGTAGCGGTGGGCAAGAACGCATGAACGTATGATGTTTCCGAGCGGTCACGCATGCAGCATGTATTGGGAATGGCGTCGTGCGCCCCTGCGCACAATCCTATGTATTACGCTCGTACGCTCAAGGTTGTGATTGAAATCTGCACGCTTGTTACATCGCAATCGACTCGCATCAGGAGATACACAAGAAAAGTAGGCGGGGGAGAGGAGGTGGGTCGGAGGACAGGGAGCAGGGGGACGGGAGGCCCTGAACGGTTCATCATCATTATCATCATCAGCAGCATCATTGTCATCACCATCATCTCCACCGTCAGCATCATCATCATCAGCAGCATCATCATCGTCGTCACCATCATCGTCGTCAGCATCGTCATCATCATCAACATCAGCAGCACCATCATCACCATCGTCATCACCACCGTCGTCATAATCATCACCATTTCATCAGCATCATCAGCATCAGCATCGTCAGCATCATCATCATCATCATCATCATCATCATCATCATCATCATCATCATCATCGTCATCGTCATCGTCATCGTCATCATCATCATCATCATCATCATCATCATCATCATCATCATCATCATCATCATTAGCATCAGCATCGTCATCGTCATCCGCATCATCATCAGCATCGCCATCATCACCTACAGACATATCCGGCGATGGGATCCGGTCGATCCGCGGCCCCGGGGCCCCCGACCTTCTCTTGGGGGGGGGGCAGCTTCTCCCCCGAGCCCATTTCTCGTAGGCCCAGGGCCCGAAAGCGCCCTTGGAAGAAGACGAAGAAGGAGAAGAGAAAAAAACAAAACAACAAAAAAAAAAAAACGCCATAAACATAAGACTTTTGGCGCTCTGCGCGGATTTCTTGGATCTGCGTTGGGCCCCCCCCAGCGGCGCCCTCCGGCGCCGCCCCTGGCGCGCTCCGCGCGCCAGGGAGGGGGGTCCAGCGCAGATCCAGGAAATCCGCGCGGAGCGCGAAAAGTTTATGTTTATGGCGTCTTTCCTTGTTCTACTTGGAAGAAGGCACACATCGGCAATCAAAACAGACACCCTTGCGGCAGAGGACCCTGAACAGGCTTACGCAGTCACGATGGAGGGCACGATGGGGGGTCACGCTGTGGGGCCATGACGGGGGAATCGGTAGAGGCCTAGAGGTAGAGAGAGGGGCATGGGGCTAGGGGCAGGGATATAAGGACGTGGAGCGGGATGGCGATAGGGCCAGGTATGGGTGTGTGCGTAGAACAAGGATAGACATGAAAGGAGTCGGGATAGAGGCAGAGGGATACGGCTGGGCATATGGATAGGGATAGGGACAGGAATGGGGACGGTAATGGGAGGCCAGGGGAGGCCATGGGAAGCAACGAGAGGCACCTGGGACGCAGCGGCAGGCAGCAAGAGGCCACGGGAGGCAACGGATCGCCCCACCGATTCCACATTTGGCAACGCACCTTCAGTTCCACAGAAGTGAGATAGATATATGTGCATACATAAATGTATATATATATAGAGAGAGAGCGAGATAGAAAACAAAAACAACAAAATCACGGAACAACAAAAAACAGAGAGAGATGAAAAAATATGAGAATGAGAAATTTTACAGACAGTCTGTTCAGGGAACAACGTCCAGAGTCAAGGCCGTTCTTACTCCCGCGATGAGGGGACTGGGCCCGGAGGGGCGGGCCCGGCGTGCGGAGGTGGGGCAGTCTCGCGCAGCTTGGCCTGCGAAGACGCCCTCCTCGCTGCAGGCCCGCGATCCCGCGCGCGCGCGACCGGCGGGAGGCCGCCCCCACGAGGAGTGCCCTTTTGGGAACGAACCATGACATAAACAGAAAAACTCTGAGGTCCTCGCGGATTTCTCGGATCCTCGCTGGACCTCCCTCCCTGGCGCGCGGAGCGCGCCAGGGGCGAGGCGCCGCCAGGGGGCCCCAGCGCCGATCCGAGAAATCCGCGAGGACCTCAGAGTTTTTCTTTTTATGTCATTGTTCGTTCCCTTCGCCTTCGCACCTCCGACGCCTGGCAATGCTCAGTTAAGTCGCACGCGGCGGACTGCGCGGTTCCCTCGGGTGCAATTATTCGCGCAGGCTTTCCGCGTTCCGCGAGAAAGGGCCGTGCACATGCTCGGCTATTTGGGCCGATGAGAGAGACAAAAAGATGTCCAAGATTCCTCGGTGCTCCGCACGGGCTTCAGGAACGAGAGCCGCCAGATGTCCTGGAACTCCTGGAACGCGTCCTGAGCTAATCCTATCGTGGCACCGTGCCCGCTCGAGAGTCAGGAGCGAAAGAAATACGTACACGTACATGAATCCACGTTGTTTTCGAAAGTACGCATTGCGCGAATGTTCGTATCACGAGGTTGGTCTCGCGGACTGGGGGGCCGTATGAGTGCCCCACACACACACACACACACACACACGCACACGCACACGCACACGCACACGCACACGCACACGCACACGCACACGCACACGCACACGCACACGCACACGCACACGCACACGCACACGCACACACACGCACACGCACACGCACACACACACACACACACACACACTGGCGGTGCGAATCCTCTGCGGCCCAGACGTGTCTCCACGATCTCTCGAGGCACAGAGGCGGCACGAGCATGAGCTCTCGACGGTCCACGGAGATTTCTTGGATCTGCGCTGGGCCCCTTGGCGGCGCCTCCGGCGCCGCCCTTGACGCGCTCAAGACCTACAGCAATTCCTGTTCATTCTGAACAGGATTCGCTGTTCCTGCCGCCGTGGACTTTGTCCATAGAAGACATAAAGCTGCCCGCCCAACAGCGGCCGCTGTCGGTTTTGGACAACATTGGTTGTTGGGCATCGCACCCATTTTTTCCGTACAGTGGGGGCGCGCATCAAGAAACCATTTGTTCTTACCTAACAGCGAAGACTGATAGGCTTCTAGTAGTGTCAAAAGAAAGCATCATGACTCCCCAGGGGGGTCTGGGCGGGATCCGGACGGGATCCGGGGGAATCCCGGGACTCCTTTTTTAGCCAACCGTAACGCACTTCGTGCTCTTCGAGTTCCCAGAACTCCATTCCTGGGCATGATTTTGAATGCCCGGAGCCAACTGTAGGCCACTTCGTGCTCTTCGAGTTCATTCTTGGGCATGATTTCGAATGCCCGGGTGGCCTTCGAGTTTCCAGAACTCCATTCCTGGGCATGATTTTGAAAGCCCGGAGCCAACTGTAGGCCACTTCGTGGTCTTCGAGTTCCCAGAACTCCATTCCTGGGCATGATTTTGAATGCCCGGAGCTAACTGTAGGCCACTTCGTGCAGGCTGAGGCTGAGGCCGAGGCTGAAGGCAGACTGAGGCTGAGGCTGAAGCTGAGGCTGAGGCTGAGGCAGGCTGAGGCTGAGGCTGAGGCAGGCTGATGCTGAGGCAGGCTGAGGCTGAGGCTGAGGCTGATGCAGGCTGAGGCTAGGCTGAGCTGAGGCTGAGGCTGATTTCTGGTGTCCAGGCGAGCTTGAGGTTGAGCTGATGCAGTCAGGCTGAGCAGGCTGAGGCTGAGCGAGGCTGATGGTAGACTGAGGCTGAGGCTGAAGCATGCTGGAGGCCGGCTGATGCTGAGGCCAGGCTGAGGCTTGAGGCTTGAGCTGAGGCAGGCTGAGGCTGACGGACAGGCGAGGCCGACGGCAGACTGAGGTGAAGGCTGAAGCAGGCTGTAGGCTGAGGCAGAGGCATAGCTAGAGGCTGAGGCTGGGCAGGCTGTGGCTAGGCAGGCTGATGGCTGAGGCTGAGGCTGAGTGCTGAGGCTGAGGCAGGTGAGCTGATGCTGTGATTGCCGTCTGCCGTTGCTATACTGCGACTGTCATCGCGAATGCGACTACGACTGCGAGAACAGCAGAATTCTACAACTGGATTCTCATCTGAATCTTAAGGGGAATGCTTCCAGATATGCTCCTACACATCGCTGTTAGGTTGCTTTGCCGGGATAATTCGTCAGGGTACCCTGGGTTTCTTCGCTCCTCGCGCTGCGCGGTGACTTCCCGCAGCCGTTGGAGGAGCTGCTGCGTTCAGGGTGCTCCGGGTTTTCCCTCGGGTGCACCTCGCGCACGGGTTCCCGGGGCTGGGTTTCTTGCGAGGGTTTCTTGCGAGGGTTTCTTGCGAGGGTTCTCAGGGTTGGGTTCTCAAGGTTGGGTTTCTTGCGAGGGGTTCTTGCGGCCGCGCCCGCACTGTACCCATTTCGGGCGTTCAAGAGGGAGGGAGGAGGTGTGCTGGCGCGCTCGGCGCGCCAGCACACCTCCGACGAGGTTTCGCCTCCGAGGGCCCGCCACCCGGGGCTCCTCTCGACTCCTCCGCCTCGCTTCGGTTCGATGCCCACCGATCCCGATTCCGATTCGATCCGCCTTCGGATTCCGTTGTCGGCTTCGGTTTCTCAATGGAGGCCTTATATTAAAGGCTGCCGCCTCTGCCGCCGACCCCAAATAAATGCATGTATTGTTTGTGCGTTGCGTCGGTTGGGGGGAGACCTCCCTCTCCCAAATCCCTCGTACTGGGCTCCTGGGGGAAGGGGTTGCTGAGGTGGCATCATTTCACACGCCGTCGGAGTTCAGGAGGAATCTTGGGCCTTCTTGGAGCCGTCTTGAGGTCGCAGAAGCCTGTCGTCATGCGATCTGGGAGTCTTTCGGAGGCTTTCGTTTGATATATTGAGCCATGTTGTGCTTCCTTGAGCCATCTTGGACGTCATCCCGGGCTGGGGTTCATCTTGGGCTCGCTGAGGCCCTCTTGGAGCCATGTTGGGTCCTCTTAGGCGCCCCATCCCTCGCGACGCGCGCCGAAGGGCTAAACTCGCCCCCGAAGGGGAAGCGGGCGGTTGCCAAAGGAATCTCTCGAAACCACCTACGCCCAAAGGGGCTTGAGGGACCGCCTGTGGGCTTGGTCGGGGCTTCTTTGGGATGCTCCTTGGGGGCTTATTCGGGCCCTGCTCTGGGCCGGTTCGGGGGGCAATCGAGCAGAGAAAAGGCTGGGCTCGAGTAAGCCCTCCCCTTGTCGGAGCCCCCGAATCCCTTG